GAGGAGGAGGAGGAGGAGGCGGAGGAGGAGGAAGAGGAGGAGGAGGAGGAGGAGGAGGAGGAGCCCCACCCCCGAACCAGGCGATCCGTGGCCCTCGCGTGCAGGGCCGCGGGCCCGCGGGGCGCGGCGGCGCTGGGCGGCCTCCTGTGGGGCGCCGTGGTGCCCGAGGCCGTCGAGGAGGCTCGGGGGTGGGGTGCCACGCGGGGGGGGGAAGTCGCCGCCTCCTCCCAGAGGTCGAGGGGATCGAGGAAGGAGGCATGGTCGGGTAGGAGGGAGGAGAGGTGTGGGCATCAGATCATGGGAGCCTGGTATACCCTCGTAGCTCAATCTTCAGAGTGCATTGGCGTCGGTGGCGTCGGTTAGCGTCTAGTAAGTCGATGAGACAGCGTCGACTCGCGTCGATGACCATCCATTCAGCGTCGACTGGCGTCGATTTGCGTCGATTCGCAAGAGCCGACAAGATGGTATGGGATGCTTCCATGAGTTACTGCAGAAAGGAGATCGAAGGGGGGGTGGGGGGCGGGGAGGGGGAGGGCCGAGAACCTGTGGGGTCTGGGAGGTTTTCGTGGGCGTCTCTTGGTGGCCCCGGGGGAGGGGGACCCCGGGGGGTGCCCGCGAGGGCCTGCGTCCCGGGGATGGGCGGCGGCCCCCCCGAGTGGCGGCCCTCCCCCACGGGGCACTGCCCGGGAGGTGATCCTCGACTTCGCGTGCTGCGCGGCGGGTCGGATGCGATGATGCAGCCTCGAGGTATAACCAGGCCCCGACGGAAGCGGGTCCCGAAGGTCAGTATCGTTTAACCCATCCCCATCCCCATCCCCGTCCCCATCCATCTCACCACCCCCGTCGGGGATATGCTCCTCGAAGCCCGAAGGGAACAGCCTATGTCTTGAACTAGGGGGTCAGATCGGCCAGTGGAGCCTGGGCCACGCCAGTGGGGATAGGGATCGGCTAAACGATGCGCAGAATTCTCTGGCTCCAGGGCTTCTCAAATTGGATCCGAGCAGATGCGGTAGGAGGATCGCGCCGCATCGCCGATCGGGCCGATGCGTATCGCCGATGCATCTCGATCTGGCCCGATTCTCTCCACGCCGACGGCGCCGATACTCCGACGATGCGGCGCCTCCATTAAACGCTCTTGGGCTCCAGGGGCCCTCTCCGGGCCCCGCGGCCGTCAGAAATCGACTCAGGATGAAAGGCTGGTCTGGGGGGAGTGCCCCAGGGTCCAGGACCCGCTCCCCTCGGGACCGAAGCGGGGACGGAAAGAGCGAGGGCGAAGACGGACAGCCGTGCCTCTGCCCCTTCAGAACGACGTTCGGTGGCGGTGCCGCCGCGGACGTGATCCATCCGGTACGGACGTCTCCCGCCTGGCAGGGGCCGCCCTCGGTTTTGGCCGACGCTTGCTATCTGGCATCTCCCCCCCCTCTTGTTCCGTCCCCACTGCGGGCGCGCCAAGTTGAACGCGTCCCCGCTGCCCGCGCGCCACTTCTGGGGCTCGCCCGCGCGGCCCCGGCTTGAGCGCGATCGCGGGCCTGGCTCCGGCTGGCCCTGCCCAGGCCCACTGTCAGCGTTCCACTGCGGCTCGCAGAAGGTCCGAGAAGCGAACGCCTGCCTCGGTGCCATGGGTCGCAGATTCCCCTCGTCGGATCCAGGCCATTTGCGAGAAGTTACTTGCGAGTAGTGGAACGCGCTTGCCTATTCTGGATGAATTTTTTAGACGGCATGCTCCCAGGGGCGGCGGAATTCTCTGCAAGCGCCCTGCTCGGCGATGCGCAGGTAGGGACCTTCGTCAGAGTGACCTCTGGCGCGGGCCTACGGGGGTCCCCACAGCACAGGATTGCGCGCGTGGACTTTGCTCTCCCCCACGCCCCCTGCGGCCCCCTGGCCAGTGTCGCTCTTGCGTGTTGTCGACCTGCTTAGATGGATGCGCAGGGGCGCAGTTCGCCAGCACTGGATGTTCCTTGGCGCCTCATCTTCTCCCTCTTCATTATTCATCCTGTTTCTCCTCCTCGTCCTCCTCCTCCTCCTCCTCCTCCTCCTCCTCCTCCTCTTGTTGTCATTGCAGCTTTACCAGGGCGTGTTTGCCCACGCCATGTTGGGCGTTTGACTCTGCCTGCCGGGCCTAACACCCCCCCACTCCTCCTCCTCCTTCGCCCCCCCCAGTCTTCATCCTCCCCAGTCTTCCTCTTCCTCCTCCTCCCCAGTCTTCTCCTTCTCCTTCTCCTCCTCCCCAGTCTTCCTCCTCCTTCTCCTCCTCCTCCGTCTCCTTCTCCTCCCCAGTGCAGGATCGCAGTGTGCAGGCGACGGCCGCTCGTGGGGGCCCGAGAGACTGAGGGGGCTAGTCATCCTGCGCCTCCCCAGCCGGCCATTTTTAATCTTCCGTCCCGCTGGTACAGATCGGCGGCCACAACTCGTGGCAGTTGCTTGCATCCGAGCATAGCTCGAGTTTTCAAGATTAATATGGTTCCTTGTTCTCCCTCGTGTCTACGTCGTCGAAGGCATG